TCAAGTTTTGTGCAAAAACGCATGATCGCTCCGGCTCGCCTGGTGCGTTCCAGCCTACGTTTTAAAAAATTTGCATTATGCGATGTATAATTGAATATCTGCAAAAACAGAATATTTTATAGCAAGTTTGCCGAAAACGCATTTCATCTGATTTGAAAGAATTAATCAAAATTTTGGTCGCAAAGCGCTACTAATAACAAATCGAGATTTTTCATGATCGTTTACTTACGTGCTAATTAATGCCGGATGTTAACTTGGGCCTTCTGAGGCAAAAGGTGCATTGTGGACCTTTTATATTAGCAGTTTTTTGGGTGCAGTTAATCAATTGACCAATTCATCGGCGCAGAGGATCTCTTAATAACTCACTGACAGTGCCATAAGATGCAGATCAACAAGTTTGAAAAATTTCGAAAAAATTTCGGAGTTTTTAAGAAGCGTATTTCTTGGGAAACAGGAGTACCTCCTCTTTCCTTCTAACCTCGCTTTCTGCTTGCGTCGATTTTTTTACCAAATTAGTAAAGCACCTAATAGTTTATCTATGCTTGCAACGTGCATTCGGACAGTCCACTTATTTGGCCAGTAACTCTGTTTAACAAAAAATGCAATTTCAGAGCAGCTTGTTATATTGGCTATTTGCCGGGTGAAGTAATAAATCGGTCAGTGCTGTATTTGTTGCACCCATACGATATTGCGCAAATCAAGCAGCTGCATGCTACTTGTGAGTCTGACTGCATGCCGAATTTTTTTTTTTGTTATTTAAACATACGTAATCGTTTGGACAGCTGAATCGAATGGACATCAAAGTTTCTAATTATAATCGTTATCGTATCACTACACTTAGAACTTTGCAGTTCAGCCATAACCTTCCTGGAACCTCGGTGAGTTTTTTCAGTAGCACAGGAATGTATTAAGTACTTGGAACCACCGTCAGCTTTCTTCGCCATAATTCCTGGAAAAGGGAGCTGTTGGTAGCTTCTTCGCATATGAGTCCTATTACATCGATTCAAATACAGTCGCTAAGCGCCTAGGTTTTTGTAGCTAATTAGAGTAACTAATTTGAATTTGAGAAATTCAAGTAACGTGCTGCAGTGAGCATGCAACGTGGTGAGATTGTACGGCAGCGTCGTCTTCGATGGGTTGCATTCAACGGTAGTATTATACACACCAATTCGGAATGGTTCGCGTTTTGGAATCCGTGGACCAGAAAAGTGGACAGTGTCATCGGTCGACATACGCTCAACGAGCAACCAGTCGGAAGCGCAGATGTGCTGGCAGAACCCTGTGCACCACGTATTGTCACACCACTCGATGAAATAACTATTCGTAATATTGAACTTGAGATTGCGGCTAATCTGAACAAGGTCAGGTATCTTTCGTGTACTGTTACTGCTAGTCCAGTGCTGAGCAAGTGGACAGTAGCGACGCTGTTTGCAGAACAAAGAATTAACTAATTTTAGTCCTCTCACAGTTGCACTGATTTCTGTCCCATCACTTGGCTATAGCGTTTACGTAATCCTAGCGTTCCATCCGTTGCCCCTTTTGTCCATTCATCTTACATCTCGAATTTGAATTTTATCTTGAAATACTTTGCTGTTAGCTTTAGGAACCAGCAGCAGCGACAAACGAGAAAAAGATCAAAGCAGCACCTGTGGCACACCAGAAAAATTCAGGTTCACCGGGAATGATTGCATCCTGTACAAACTTTGAAACTACTACCAATAATTTAGCCGAGACACTTGTTATCAGTGCGGGAACATCAGGAAGCCAGGTATAATAATGATCATACTTTTGCGGTGTCACATTTGTTGGATTAATTTTTCATTACTATAATTACTTCTGTTTTGCAAAAGAACCGAAATATAAAGTTGTGAATATGAAATATTTTGAAACTGCTTGCAAAAAATCGTTGAATTCTATGCTGCAAAAAAGCTAGGCCATCATTTTGCTTTAAAGCAATCCTAAAAAGAGAGTGCCACCGAAAAAAGTGATTGCTTTTGGCATTTTCTACTTGTCACAGAAAACTTATTTAAAGGAAGTTTTGACTTTTTTACAAAAAGCTAAAACCAGCAAATATACAGGAAGCCGCGCTGATACTCAGGATTTTATTCTGTCGGGGATACAGTTAACTTCTTTGAGATCTGTTTATTCGTTTCGAGAATAAATTAACATTAGCCCGTATTAGGCAGTCAAAAATTGCCAAAACCTCGGTTTTGAGCAACACTTGAAAAGGAATGGCATTGACATAAAGCTGAAGGCCCCAGCTTCGCATAATAAAACTTCCTTTTCGGCTATCATCTAATTTAAATGAGTGCCATAATTTTGCAGCACTCAACATTAGTTCTGGATGCCCGCCGATCTCCGGTTAGCCCTACAGATCTTTCGCCAAACTACAACAGTGCACTTCCTCTGTCATACAATCAGGTATTATTAGTTCTTATATCCAAATTTTTTTCAAACAATCAAATTTGATAAATCAGTGCTAAGTAAAAATTTAAGCATGCGCATATGCACAAATCAGGAGACATACATATATGCACACACTTACATTCACATACGCTTAACGTGTATTTTCTTCAGTTAAGCAAATTAAAAAATATATCGCAAAAAATAAGGCAAATTGACCGTAGGTGAAAAAGCAATAAAAAAAACGAAAAGCTTTCATTTGTTTTTTAGAACTGTCTGAAATAAAATCCTGAAACACTTTGTTCCTGTTTGAAATCTATTAATTTATCTTCTTTTCGATGTATTTGCGCTATCTCTTCAGTAAGCAAAATTTTGTGAATTGTGGATTTCTGCACAGGGCATTAAAGAAATAAACAATTCTAAGGATTAAATATGACGTATATCAATTTTCAAAAGTTTAAGAATTCTAATTTTCACGACTTCAGATCAACTGCTTAGAAAACGTGCACAGATTGCTGAAGAGTCAGCAACGCACAGCAGCAGCCGCAGCAGCGGTTTCAGCGACAGCAGTGACGACGGCAGCGGTACCAACTGTCACAGACCTGGTTCAGGAGAACGGTCCAAACCCGAAGGCTTCACCATGCGAGGAATCAAAAAGTCCGCTTCCAGTACCGGAACAAGACGACTGCTGCAGGTATCGCTTGCTCAATGGATTTGAAAGTGTTCCCGACTTTCCAGTGCTATACGCAATTAAAATTCCGGAATAGATATGAAATAAATTTCAGCAAAATCTCTTATACTCTTAAAAAGTTTTTATTTGATCTAGCTTTTAATTGCTCTGTCTTTTTATGCTTTTTTTGCAGCTATGCAATGTAGAAAACGCATATTGACGAGGGGTTGTCTGTGTGTGTTTCTGTATGTTCGTCAATACCTATTTTTCATTTCGAGAACTACAAAAGCTACGGGGCTGAAATTTCGGGAACTTGATCTACATGCATGTATGGCCCCCTCCCCAAAATGGGCGCTCTTATGCGCGTGGTACCCACGTACGAGCCCGCCAAAGTTTCTTACGGGTAAGCTGCTAACGCGGGAACCAGAAAAGCTGGGAGGCCTAAATTTTAAGGGGACGTTCTCTGTACAAGTAGGTATTAGTGAGCTAAAACCCAGCTCCCGAATTACGTGCGAGCCCGCCAAAATCTTTTTCGGGTGAGTCGCTAACTTGGGAATCTGGAAAGCTAGAAGGCCGAAATCTTAAAAAGATATTCCCCGTCCAAGTAGGTATTAATGAGTTCAAACGTAGCCCCCGTGTAAGCGTGGTACCCGCGTACGAGCCTGCCAAAATTTTTTTCGGGTAAGTTATCGCGAAACAGTAAAGCTAGAAGACTGTAATATTAAGAGGTTGTTGCCCGTTTACATTAGTCTCAACGAGCTCAAACCCAGCCCTTGGTCATGCGTGGTACCTACGCACGGGTTCACCA